GTTATTGGCTAAAAAAAACATCAAGTGCAGCATGATCAGAATACTGACTGTTTTTGTCACAGCGCTGTGAAAATTAATGTGAAAAAAGAATTAAAAAACATCAAGAAAACAATACTTTTTTGACGCTATTATTTTGTAAATAAAAATGAAAAAAAATTCACTGGTACAATTGGATAATCTACTTTATATATGTGTATATATATATAGTAGTAATGTAGTACATATATATATATACTGTACTAAGGTAGTAGTAGTAATGTAGTACATATATATATACTGCATATTGATAATGGTCCAAAAATGTGTTATTGAGGATTTCTACAGTTGTTTTTGTGCAAAAAAAAATAATATTTTGGTCAATAAATGGCAAAATTGTCTTTTAGGGCTGGACTCTACCCAAACCACTGGGACAGAGAACATTAAGAGCCACGGATAATTTGATACCAAGCCGTGCAGAGAAAAAAAAGAATAAATCTCATTATTATTATTATTAATATTTATGTCAGTCTGCATGACACTTTATTTTGAAAAAAAAAAAGAAAATCCCTTTTGTCCTATCCTCTTTTCTGTGCCGGACTGGCCACTGGTCTGTGGTGCAACAAAGGTCGCTTTTTAAGGTAGTTTTACAAGTAGGATGATGTTGTTTTGTTCATTGCTGAAAGGTTATGGACAATTTAGTAAAAAGAGGAAATCAATCATTGTCACCGTCAAAATATTTTGTGTCATAAAAATTCAAGGACGGCTATTTTGACAGCTTCATTTCTCGCATTACATTAAATCTGCTCCCATTTTTTTTTTACACTACCTGAAAATCTAATTATAGTGAAGGCATGTAAATGCTGCGAGGACGAGTACTTTCAAAAAGACAGCAGAGACATCCTGACGAGCAAGTGGAGAGCATAAAGCCCCAAAATGAGAATTCATTTAAAAAGGGGGGGGTTTGGGTATTGAACAATAATGAGCAGCGCGGTCACGCGGGCCCACCGCATCGACTTCACACGCACATATGCAGACGCACAACTCCGTTGGCTCTTCATCATTGGATATGACACCTGACGGCCCATTAGTTCCTAAAGTGCTATTCCATTCTATGAATTTCTCTCCTTATAGAATATTTAGACTCTGTGTGTTTCACTCCACTTGTCAACACCGGATACATTATTCATGTTACTGGGCTGTTATATGACGCTCTGCGTGATGTAACGCAGCCATTCCACCGGGCCGCCCCGCTCCGCCTCGCACCCACAAACACATTCGCTGACCTTCTGAACTGTGCGCTGCCATCATCCCGCCTGCGGCGCTGAAGCAGCTCCGCTTCATATAATAAACTGAGGGAGAGGACATTTGTGCTTTACAGGGGGGCTTTATTGTGCAATTAAAATGTGTGCTTACTTGAGTGCACCTATAAATGTGTGTCTGCGAACGGCAGCCTTTAAGAAAGAGATGGTGAGCGAAAAGGGAATTTAACCAGCCTTTAATTATGCAATTAAATTCGTATGCCAGGAGTGATGCATCCTGAGTCGGCTTGATACGTGTAAAAAATATATAGATGTGTCGTAATTGTGTTGGAATTAAAATATTAGCCTTTTATTTGGAGATTCAGTAAGTCAACGGGGAACGTTTAATAAGCTAAAACTAAGCAGCCTTAGCGCATAAAGATGAGTGCTTTGGATTGAGTGTAAGATGAGATGTTGACGTTACGTTGCTAGCTAAGATAGGCGCTGTATCGGACCACTCGCGTCGCTTGACTTTATTTCACATATCTTAACATAAATACTCGATATCGAAAGTACTTTCATTTCAGTTTTTTCTAAAGTTCTTAGAAACAAGTTTTGTGCTGATATGGTTCAGGTTGTTTAAACCAGGGGTTCCCAACCCCCGGTCCGGGGCCCAGTGCTGGTCCGTAGTTCATTTGGTACCAGATGGCAGAGGGACACATGTCTTACATGCTCCCCAAAAAAAAGGCTGGTTTAAACCACATATACCAAGTGTCTTACATGCTCCCTGTCCACAACACAAGTCCAAACCATTTCAACCCTCTCATCCTGTCCATGCTGGTCAGTCCCAGTGAAAATCCTCACCATCTTCTGCCACCTCTAACTCAGCCTTTTGTCTATTAGACAGAGCCACTGTCTGTAAACAATACATCATAGCAGCTCTCACTACTGCCTTATAAAGCTTCCCCTTTCCACCGCTACTCTTCCGTCGCAAATCACTCCCGACCGGTCTCCATCCATTTCCACCCTGCCTCCACCTCTTTCGAGCATTGTCCATTTCTTCGGATGGTTGACCCCAGGTACTTGAACTCATCCGTCTTTACAACCTCTACTCCTTTTAGCTTTATGTTTCCACTTGCCTCACTTTGGTTTACACGCGTTTCGCTCCTGCTGACCTTCATTCCTCTTCGCTCCAAAGCAAGCCTCCGCCTTTCTAGGTTTTTTTTTTTTTCCTTCCACCTGCTCCCTACTCTCACCCGTAGATGAGAATGTCATCTGCAAACATAATGGTCAACGGTGGTCTCATCTGTCACCTCTCCGTCCGCATAGCAAACAAAAAGGGTTCAGATCTGATCCCTGACCTGAATTGCCATCACATACTTTTCTGCCACTCCTGGCTGTCTCCTTCAGTACCGACCTTCACTACCAGCACTGTTCTACAGTTTGTAGTCTATAAAATAAAACAGAATATGGTCAAATGTCTTAATTTCTTGCAATTGAATAAAGAGAGAAAACATGTATGGCTAAAGTTCACCACAACGCTGACAACCTAATGCTGCAAATGTTCCAGGGACGGCCAATTAAAAGTTTTTAAAGAAAAATGAAATAAATTCACAAAAAATAAAGTTGGTGGTGGAAAGTTTTAGAGCAATTAAAACTCCTAACTTATGTTGGCGAGTGATACCCAACAAAAATATTTTGAGAAGGGGTCAGTAAAGATAATGCGGAGCTGGCAGAGATGCTAAGATTTTTTTTTTTTTTTACAGTGACCAGAAAGAGCTGGATTGAGAACAAACCGAATTGGCGTGAATGGTTGAGGTCAAGAAGGTTAGGACAAGCACCGATTACAGTAGAGAATATATTCAACGAATGACGTGAGAGATGGAGTCTGACTGACACCTGGGAGCCATAATGAAGGGCAAAAAGTCCCAAAGAAAACAACACAAATGTAAGAAAGTGAACGTAGCACAAACAAACGTATGCCATTTACTTGAGATTGCGACGTAACCGCGAAATGTCATAGGTCGGGGAACTCGACCTCTTTGTCCTACTAGTTGCGTCTTTGTCTTCACCGGATTTCCTAGTTTGTGTTCTATCATCTCTCCTGCACAATGTCCCCCCGTACAGGTCTGGAGTGTTGTCTTTAAATGTTCATCATACTGGGATGTGACAAAAACAATATTACTTTCTGCTCCCCTACCAAAAAAAATAAATAAAAATACTTTATACTCTTTGTATTGATTTTTGCTCCACGATGGATTTAATTGCTTTTTGCAAGAGATGCTTCTTTTTTTGTTACAGAAAAAGAAAAATAATTTTGAAAAAGCAATTACCTTGGATTTCTTCAAAAAAACAAACAAACTATGATTTGGTCATAATTGCTGACATATTATAGTTTAAAAGGGATTTCTAATTTTGCTTCCAAGTCGAAAGAGACATGGAGTCAAAAATGAATCCTGTGGAACAAAATATATTGTTTGTAACTGAGGATTTTACAGCTATGCCGAAATAACATCTTTTATAATGCGTTATCAGCCGTGCCTTGTTATCAGCTACTTTCCTTCCCGCCACGAAAAGTGTGTTTCATAACTAATTAACGTGACAGCTCAGATGTTCCGTAGTGTGTGCAGTAGCTTTTGTGTTCTGCTGCGGGATAACGCTAAGGCCACTTTTAAGATACCAGACACAATTTTTTCCATTTCTAATTTATTCCACCAAACAGATAACCCTTAGAGTCCAGTGAATAAAGAAAGTAATAAGAGTAGCGTAGCATGCGGCTGAAATGGAGGATAATGCTTAATAGAAGCTTCTGAATAGAGTCTTACATCTTAAATAGGAAGTTCTAAAAAAAAAAGTTCTATCAGGGAAACAACACCTAGAGGCCACTTCCTGCCTGACCTTGCTGAACATGCACGAGAAATTGCCTCGCCACATAAAACCTTTTGTGTTTGTGTGTCTGAGAGAGAGATAAAGAGAGCACGTGCGAGAGAGACATTGCTGAAGTATTTGTTGTTTCATTTAAAAACTCTAAAAGCTTTAAAAAATATATATATAGAAATATAGATTCTTTACGGTCTCATCCTATTTGTCTGAGGTCTTGTATTTTCATGAAATGGCGACAACGGTGATCCTTGATGTAACCCCCACCCCTACATTGAACCCGTCAGACCAGCAACACACCTAATTCCAGTCTGAGATATATCCTGCACCACCATCACATACTTTTCTGCCACTCCTGGCTGTCACATACACTACCAGAGTTCTAAAAACTGAAATTCACTTTCTCCTTCCGACCTTCTCTGGTCTTCAGTAATCAGCACTAATAAAGTAAAAAGTCAGTACCTTTAAGATGTTTATTTAGAAACATTCAGGACAATCCGTACAAACCATATACTTATTTTTGTATACGCTTTTTTCGCAGCCGTTTTTGTGAGACTATAACTGCGTCTCTGTCTCTTTCAAGGCTTATTTTAGCTGCAGACGGTGTCTGCTGAAGTAAGCGAGCGTTTAAACAGATCTACCGCTCGCAGAAAAAGAAAACGTCTTCAGTGTCTCGTCTCTCCCCACAGGCTTTGTCTGGCACTGACAGCTGGTTGAAAGCATATCTGCATTTTGAAAGACTATTCTGTCAGCGCTCTTTCAAATGTCGGACAAAACAGACTATCACAGACTGACGCCTTTTTTTTTTTATTTAACAAATTAGAAAATAACTAAAAGTTAAGGAAATACTGAATGATGTTTAATAGAGATCCAAAACAATTTAGGGATGAGCTATTACATCCAATATGAAATATATTTAATTTAGTGTCTAAGGATTCAGGGAAGAAAAAAAAATGAAGTTTTAGGATTGACAAATTGAACCGACACTTTTATTATATAACTAGGATAGAAACAGGTCTAGACTCATGTATTTATTTGTTTTTTTAAAAAAAAGCCTCACTACCAATACCCTCCACCCCCTGCCTCCACGCATGCGCACAGTGCCTCTTCATCAGCTCAGCATCATCTCGAAGATCCATCGGTACCGAGCTCACATGGATCATCTGTGAAAGGCAAGCGGTCCAACCCGGGGGTAAGCGAACGAGTTTAAGCCGAGAATGTGCAGCAGCATCAGCTGTTGCTGACACGGTCTCCGTAGACGAAAATGCGACGGAGAACAGCGTGAGAAACGGACTGAGGGGGCTGCACGGCCGCGATGACTCAGTCACGTCCGTGAACGGTGCTTTAGTTAAGACTGCGGTCGAAATATGAGTCGTCTCTCTCTGCGTTAAGTATTGTCTGTTGTCTAAAGATACTGTAGTAACCTGGTGTACTGGAGATAACTGACCGTGTAAAAAAAAAAAAAAAAAAAAAAATTAGAGATTGATATCTGCGTCAGGGGGAAAGTTGCTGTAAATATCGAGGCCAGTGGTGTCAAACATACGGCCCGCGGGCCAAAACTGGCCTGCTTGGGGGTTGAATCCGGCCCACTTGAAGAAAGCGATACAAAAAAAAATTCACTTTATATTTGTGTTATGTTTTGTCAAATTATACATATATTAAATATTAAATATAAACAATATGAATATTTTGTAATATACTTGTTCCTATTTTGCATGAAAACAAAGGTGAAAAATGTGGACTATTGACTAGATCAAGTTGGTCTGAACTCTGAGTCAGGCGGTTGTCACTTTTTTTTTGTTCTGGACGGGCACCGTATTGTTGTTTTGGCGCTGTTCCGTGCGGAAGTTTTGCAGAAAGAGCGTGCGTTATGCCTGCATCGATAAAAAAGCAGAAATAAAAAGAGTTCTTGACCTCTTCTCCACCTCCTCTACTGAGCAGCAGCAGCATGGTTATTTAAGAACAGTTTGTCATTTTGCATTTTGGGTTGGAGTCAGAGAAACAGGAGGGGAAAAAGTGCAGGATTTAAGAGGTATTTTTTAGTTGCAGGAATTGTTGAAAACATTTAAAAGAGCATAGAAACACAGCATGAACTGAACAACAAACTGACAAAGACTGATATGAATATTTTGTAATATACTTGTTCTTATTTTGCATGAAAACAAAGATGTGGACTATTGACTAGAACAAGTTGGTCTGAACTCTGAGTCAGGCGGTTGTCACTTTTTTTTTGTTCTGGACGGGCACCGTATTGTTGTTTTGATGCTGTTCCGTGCGGAAGTTTTTTGAGAAATTTTCAAGTTTTTAAATGTGCCGTATAGTGGGGAAAATACTGTACAGTGTTTTTTTTTAAGCTGTTATTTATAAGCATAAGATTTGGCAGTTTTTACAACAAATGCCCTTCCATGCCTCAACCCAACTATGGAACTCAAAGTCCTCTAGTGGCAGAAGGGAGACCATGGTGTACATGGTCCCATGAGCTGAAATCTTAATTGTTTTCCTCTTCTCCACCTCCTCTACTGATCAGCAGCAGCATGGTTATTTAAGAACAGTTTCTCTTGTTGAAGTTTGGGTTGAAGTGCAGGATTTGATAGGTATTTTTTAGTTGCAGGAATTGTTGAAAACATTTAAAAGAGCATAGAAACACAGCATGAACTGAACAACAAACTGACAAAGACTGACTGAGTGAGAGAGAGAGGTTTATATACCCAGGGCACTAGGTGACACCAGTGAGGCTGACGACAGAGACACAGCTGAGCGTGATCACACTAATCAACCCGGCCGACAGGAGGAGTCAGGAGGGAAGGTTCACATGTCCAAGGTTTTAAGTCTTAAGATACAAAAAAAAAAGAGATAGAGTTTTGATACTAACCACACTATTAATTGTAGTTTAAGTGCTTTTGGAGAGTACACTTTTCTGGAGATGCTAGTTGGTCCGATCTTGTTGAATGAACCAAATCTCTAGCCAAATCAAAATAGCACACTCAATTACAAATTAGATAAAATCACATTTTTGTCGAACATTATAATTTGATGTTTATTTTAGAATCCAGTTAAGGGCCACCAGTTGATAATCACTGCTATAAATGTTTCACAAATTAGTTTTGCGATCTCGCTAGGAACAAAAAAATTAAAGTTGAAATCGTTTTTTTTATTATTATTTTTGGATAATAATTAGAATGTAAACTGTTTTCAAAGTTCTCAGACTTAATCAGACAGCAAATCTAAATCTCCCGATGATGTTCTTTTTTTTTACTGCTAACTGATGTGTTTTTTTAATCATGCTCAGGGACGGGGTTTCCGCGTGTGGATTCTGAGAAAAGTCATTGAAGGCAAAGAATAAAACATATCAATCAGAGCACCTCGGGAGAACAACAACGGAGAGACACGCGTGCATATGAGAAAGAATGGCGCGTTCGCGCACTTGCATAGATGTGATTCATCTGTGGGCGGTAATAGAGCCACCTCAGGGCCACGGTAGCTGTCAATCGCTCACGCGCGGCGACGATCTACGGTGACTCGACGGAGTGAGTCGAGATTTACGACGGCCCTCGATTAAGGAGGGGAGGCTTTTATTGAAAGAAATCCATATTCAGTATGTAAACAGTGTTTGTGTTATATAGTGTCAGCCATGAGGCTGACGTATATACATATCAATCCATCAAGACTCTAAATCTCCTTACTGTGCATCTGGATTTTACCGTAGGTGAATAAGGCGTGTGAGGTGCGATGGCCTTGTGCTCTGAAGCCTGTGTCCCCGGCTCAGGAGGGGAATCCTCCGGGAGTGAGGTAAGCTTAACTCACTTTTCTTTACTACTCTTGGTTTATACGCTGAGTGGATATTTTTTTCAGTAAAAGCTTCTGCCACCTCAGTATTGAGTGAAAATTAGGGATGCCGATATTAGCATAATTATGTAATATCTGTAAGAACCATTATCGGCTTTTTCTCCGATAATGAAAACCCGTTAATGCAATGCCTGGGTTTTGCCCTCATGATGTGTGCTCCAAAAACAAAACAAAATTTTGGGGATAAACGGCGGCTGTATATTAAAGTGAAATTCACTAGATGGCAGCATTGCAGCTCAATTTATTAATCTATTTTAATCATCAGGAGATTGTATAAAGACCTATATCGGAATCAGAAATTAAGTATTTGGCGATATCGGCATATCGGATATTGGCAAAAAGTTAATATCGGACATCCCTAGTGAGAATTATTATCCTTTATTCTGACATTTTAATCAAAGCAAAATAATCTGTCTATTTGTTCACAAAATCCACAACGCTAGGCCGGTTCCAGCTGTCTTCAGTTTGGGGTACGATCCTACCTGCACCACTTCTATGAAGAATGCTCCTCCTCGATTTGGGAAAAAGACCCAGAGGATAGAGGGTTCGACCAAAACCAGCAGCCAACCACGTTGTGGAACTCGGCAGTCTGGAAGGTGCTGTAGAGCCACTATCGTATTCTTATTATTGTTTTTGTCTGTATCTTCCTGTTTGCGTCTTTGTTCTGATCTTTTTTTTACCCTTTACCGTAAGTTGGTGTATCGGTCAATACTGATGTTTTTGCTTTTTTTTATGTTCGATCCTAAAATTTTGACCAATATCGGACCGATAACGATCCGGACCATCAGACTGAACGATATTATCGGGCATCCGATAATATTATCGGCCGACCGATATTATCGGCTTAATATTAGCATATAGCAAATACTGTCTGTGAGAATCAATAACGGTTAACCTCCGATAAGGAAAATCCGATAATGCGATGCCTGGGTTTCGCCAAATATGCTGCAATCGTATGTAATTGTGGGGTACTGAGACGTTTTCCGCAGTTTTGGGGAACAACAGCTGCATGTATCGGTATCGGTTAATATCGAAATTAGAAATGAAGTGTTTGGACAATATTGGCATGTCGGATTTTGGCAAAAAGTTAATATCGGATTATTCAGTGTGGTTATATACCAGTAGCTACTGAGATACAAAAACAGCCTCACCGTAGCTCTACTCAAGGGTCGTCCTTTGTGCTGCACGTTGTTACCAATGTGACAAACAGCTCTGTCTGTTCCGTAGCCCTGTCAGTGATGAGCATCACCGGTGTAATAAGTATACGAAGCTGCAACGCTGCATACGCTGCGATGATTTGCATGATGAACTACAGGTGCTGTGCAGTGGCATTTGTAAAGGTGAGGAATTACATCCCGCCCCTCTGCCCATTTGGTAATTTGGATTTTTCTGCATCACAAACAACAAAATGACCTTTTTCTAACAAGAAAGGAAGAGCTGTGAGCAAAAGATGGCACTGAGAACAGAACAGAACAGAACAGAACACAACACGCGCGAACAAATAATCACTTCAGATTCCATCTCATCCCTCCAGGTGTCCTTGTCCCTGGGTCTCCTGATCCTGACTGCAGGAATTGCCAGCCTCTCAGTCGGTTATTCCACTCCCCATAAAATTGAGTCGTTCGGCGAGGGAGACCTTTTCTTCATTGACACCGAGGCTATGGGATTCAACCGGGGGCTTCACCTCAATGCTGCAGCTGGGATTGGGCTTTCCTGTCTCGGCTTGGCCTTGGCAGTTATGGGGGTCGTCGTGTGGATCCTCCCCAGGGCCATCATAAAAGACAGGCTTTTCCACCGGCCGGGGAAAAGGGAAGGGAGAGGAGAATTTTGGTCCAAGTGGGGAGAATTCAGGAATCCTAGGGATGTGGTCACAAACCCGCCAGGTATCGAGAAAGGCAAGATTCCCGTTACGCTGTCACAGGTGGAAAATGTGCAGCCCACATCTTAATGGATTCCCCTTTTAGCTACAAGGCTTCGTTCTTTTGTCTTAGTCACGGAACCTCAATCATAAAGTCTTACTATGTATTTGATCCAGAATGGAAATATATACCATACTCTGTGGAAATATGTAAAGCAGTCGCTCTTGTGTTGTGATTTTATGTAAAGTGCTGCTTATGATACAATGCTTGTATTTCGTCTGGCAAATTTGAAAAAAAAAAAAAAAATTGTCTGAACTGCGCTTACCATGTTCCTTCCACCAGGGTTTTCCTTTCATATAACCTAAGCTAACGTAGCTAGCTTACGTTACTAATTTTTACACGTGAAACAAATAAAAGGTAACCTGAGATTTTGGTAGACTTTTTGAAACACCTGATTAATTGTTTCTATTTTTCCTAAACAAAAATGAGTAAGTATTGTGAATATTTGTACTTCTACTTCTATTTCCTGTATCTACCACATCTACCAGACTTGCGGTCTGTATTTTAGCGCAGCTAGGCGAGGCACCGACGCTTCGACTGGACCCTGTCGTGTTACGCAACATGTTCAATAAGTTTGTATACTGCTTTCAGTCTTTGTATGTGCAGTGTAACACCACTTTATTAACAATTGCACAAATGAGAGTATGCGGAAATATTGTATTTGAGTAATAAAAGCAAGCCAAAAAAATACAATATATGAGCCCTTCTTTTTTTAGTAATGAATAGTTCGAAGAATTTGTTTGGGTGGAGTATGTTCTAAAAGTAAAACTAGTCAACAAGTTTTATTTTGTAATTAATATATTCCTGTTTATTTTGAATCAATCTGCCACTGTATGTCCTACTATTACTTATTATTTTTTGTATTACTCAGTACCCTTGAGGTAGCGCTCAGTTTCAAAAAGTTTGGAGACCCCGGATCTAGGACATCAGAAAAGTCTGACTTAAACTTGGGAGTCAAAATGAAGGGCAAAAAGTTTGCAAAAAAAAAAACAATCCAAACTAAAGAAACTAAATGTAGCGCAATCCAATTTATGGCGTATTTATGTAAACAAAGCCGTCTCCAGCACAAAATCAGTTTTAGCGCGATACGTTAAAATGATGGAAGAGGTCGTCCAACCGTACTGATTTCAATCAGCAGACTAAGCCAAAGTAGTCCAGAGTATCGGATGCTATACTCCTCATTGGTAAACTAACTAAATACCTCATTTCTAAATGTTGTTTTTGACGTAAACAAAACGTTTTCCATCATGGATGCAGTGACTAAAACAAACCCGTCCAACTGAGTGATCATATGGAGTAGACTGATTCTAACTAGTGTACAGTCATAGGTGATGAGAAAACCAACGAGGACCATTAACACTTCTCTGTCTGCATTTTCACACCTCGACTCTAATGTCCAGGCCACAGTGATAAAAACCAGCACCGTAACATGCACTCGCCCCCACACACGAATCCGTGCTTCATTGACAATATCACCTATTTTCTCTGCTCTGTAATCTGGTTCGGTAATTGCCTGCAATCTGCGTCTCCAGGCAACAGTTTGAGCTTCGAGTGCTCTATTTTCTCCTCTCAACAAAGACTCCTTTTCTGATTGGTTCCCCGCATCCTGTATGACGTTTTTTACACCAATGACATTTTTTGTTTACCATCACACACGGTCGTAGCAAGTAAGTGGTGAAGGACGGCGATGAAAGGAACTCGCGCTGGCACCTCGGTGGCCACTTGTTCGATTGGGTCCTTGGCTTGGATAAATTATTTGTAACTAGTGGGGTTGTGGTTTCAGGTTGGAAAAGCAAGTCAAGAAAGACGTTCGATTCCACTGTATACCTTTTTATTTACTAGTTATTTTTTTACTCTTGTCATATCAGTATCTGTTGCATTCACAATATAGATATTTATTTTGATACAAATTTGTGTTTTTCATTGTTTCGGTGATCCATAAATTTGCATAATACTAGCGACAAAAAATTAATAATATTAGTAATTAATATTGTTAGTTCAGAAGAATACTTCTCCCTAAATTAACTTTGTTTACCGGACTGATACACCGATATCAACTTGTATCAATCCGACTGCGACCTTTGCAATAATACATTTCCAAACACTGCTGTAACGAAGCCTCCGTAGCAGTTCATTTTGTATTATAAATAATTGCCATTGACATCATTATTTCAAAGGTCACACACAGAAAAACAAACAGAAGAAAATGCGAACGTGGGTAGTTTTCTACTTGTGCATATTTTAAGTTTTTTTTTTCTTCTTCGCTAATGAGTTAATAAGTATTACCACATCATGTCGGTGTATGAACCACTGTCAGGGCGCCGCGGCATTTTAAGACGTTCAGTAGCTACTAAAGGTCAGACAGTATTTGACAAGTACGTTGTCAAATTGTGCACTTGTCGATTTCTTTTTATGTGAGGTATTGTTTTTTTCTCGATTTTATTTAGGGTTGTCCAATATTTTTGACTCGTTGTTAGCATTATTAATTAATAATTATGTAAGAATCGTTACCGGTTTTCACTCCGATAATGAAAACCCGATACTGCAATGCCTGGATGTCGCCAAAAAATGCTGGAATCGCTTGTGGGGTACTAAGATGTTTAATGCAGTTTTAGGGGAAAAATAGCTACATGTATCGGTATTGGTTGATATCGGAATCGGAAATTAAGTTTTTGGACAATATCGGCATATCCGATATTAGCAAAAAGTTAATATCGGACATCCCTAAGTTAACTTAAATTCAGTAGTTAGCAATATTAGCATATTTTGTAATACAGTATATGTAAGAATTGTTATTGTTTATCGCTATTGTTAACGCAATGCCTGGGTTTCGCATTACTTTGATTGATTTTTTTTTTTTTTTTAATATTTGCCGGTTGTACGCCATACATTGTAATTTTGTAATATTTGCCGGTTGTATGCCATACATTGTACTCTGCTACATTCGCTTTTTTTTTTTTGTTTTATTTTGTTTTTTTGGGAACTTTTTACCCTGTATTTTGGCTCCCATGTCCTAGATTACGATGTGTTAGCCTAGCTCAATGACATAGCTACTTATGTATAGCACGTGAGTTCCAACTTAGAGTGAAAATCGAGTTACCCCGCTTCGTAGGAACAGAACTCCGATGTAAATCAAGGAACCCCCGTGTTGTGTTTTGTATCAAAATTTGCAACTTCTTAAAGTTTCAAAATACGAAATATGTGAAATATGGCCGACAGAGGGAATGAGCAGAAACATAAAATCCTTATTGAAAAAAAAAATCTCAAGAACACATTAATCAAAGTATATTGTCATTCGATAATATAACAGTGATTTCATTCATTTGGACGTGTGTTTATATTACTACAATAATTCCTTGTGTGATTTGAAGGGCTTTATCGCACAAATGGATTTCAAACAATGTTGAGTTTCCCTAAAAAGAATGTCGCAGCTACATCTCGTGTCTCCTCTTGTACGTTACATTGAAACGTTATCTGTCCCGCACAGGCGCTTTCAGTCAAACAACACAAGAACACAGCACTGACCTCATCAAATGTCTCAACAGCAGGAAGTTATTTCCCTTCTTTTTTTTCCCCCCGTGTGGGGGAGATGAGGAGATTTGGCACAGTCAGACACCTCTGCATATTTGCAGTCACCATTGGTTTGTTAAGCATTAAAAATGTTAATTGGAATTTTTTTTTTTTTTTTTAAATATCACATTACCAGTCCACCTCCTCCAGTCACAGGCTGTCAAAATGCAATATTCCAAATTAGATTGTATTTGGATAATCTTTTGAACTGTAATATGTTTTCAGCCAGCAGGCATATTACTATTGGCACATCATTATTAAACAAAAGTGACACAGAACCATCACTTTGCAGGCGCGCGCCAGATAAACGTTCGACACCGTGCAAATAATATTAGTTCTGCTTCCAGAGTCACCGGCTTATCTCTGGAATGCTATATTGGGTTAATATCCCTGTCGGCTGGCGTAGGCCTTCTGAAGGAAGTGTCTAAATTTATGAGTAGCCCCGTACATGCATGTGTGAGGTGCATGTTTAAATAGGTGTGTGTGTGTGTCACACATTAATGCTTTTGTATGTAAATGCTGTGTTTGTGTGTGTGCAAAACCGGGGGTCCATTCATATGTAAATAAGCATGCCTGTATATGCAGACTCAACCCGTATCATGGCGTAATGAGATCCCGCCACTGTTGGTTACCCCTCAGACAGTGGTTAATTACGGCTGCGGCGCAAAAGGGAACCGTGATGAAGGTGAGGTGGACCCGCACAGACCGACGTTGGGCTTCTGTCTGACCCATGCTGTTGCCCCCTAGCTCGTTTGAGTTCACGACCTCTGCTTCTAAGGGATCGGAAAAATGTTTTGGTTTTTTTTTCTATGCAATCAAACACTTCATATTTCAAAACACCTATATATTTTAGTATATATTTTAAAAAAATATATGAAATGAAAATGATATTATTATACTACTAACTACCATTAACACTATTTCCAGAAACTTTAACGTAAATTTTTAGTCTGTGGTTGGACAATTTGAACAGTTATTTACAGGGAAAAAAAATGTTTCTGTGTTTGATTAGTCATGATTAATCACAACTAATCACGAATGATCCCAAATAATCGTGTTGAAAAGTGGACAGCATTAAAATTGGTGCCACACTTGGGAAATGCTGCCCCCTAGAGATGCCGAATATGTGTTTCCTCTGGGAATCGAACGCAGGATTCTCTGGTCTAGGCAGGCGTGCTAAAGGTTACACAACGGAACCCTAAGGTTAATCTTTTAATTTGACAGCCCAGCACTGACAAAAAAAAATGAACATTTTTTACGACATATATGTCATATATTACTATATTATAGTAATATTATATGATAAACAGATCTAAAACACCCCAAAAAAAGTAAGTTTGTAGTTGGACAAAGTTGTTTGGAAGAGTCACAGGACTCTAACAGTTTACCAATCGTTCCTCCAAAGTGCCTGCGAACAGGTCTGTCGATCACATTTTCACTCATACCGCCCTTCCCCGCTGTACTCGTCTTTGTCGGAGTGTTTCTAGTAGATAGGAAACAAATGCGTCCTCCGCGAGGTTGACGACATGTCTTTGTACCAGGCAGGCTCCGACAATCGCAGCGGCCAGGTACTGATTTATTTTCGTGGTACTCGCCTTGAACCTTTCAGCCACAATCTCACTCTGTTTACATCTCTCCCTCATTGAATTCAAGTGTTCCTACCCGGC